TTCTCCCAGAATGTGAATGCGTTCACCATCTCAGAAGCTCTCCTAACCCTATCATTCACAGGTTTTTTACGGAGGTTTCCTCATGTAGATATGATAATTAACTCAATCTCCAGCTTCTCTTCCCTCCCCAGAAGTTGCGGGGTGAGGCTGAAAGCTCCAAACTTCTAATCAAGATTTTGTCTTTCTGGTGACCAGCTCCCACCCTATCTTAAAGCTATCTAAGAGCATGCCAAGAGTTGCTCATTAGAACAAAAGATGCTCCTGTCACTTATGAAATTCCAACAGATTTAGGAGCTCTGTGCCGGGAACCAGGAATGAAGACCAAATATCTGCTTCTTATTATTACAGTATCACAGTTGGCATTAAATTCAGTTTGTACCTCTCTGAAAAATGACTTTATTTTTCCCTTATTCATTAAACATAGTTTTCATTTATATAATTCTCGTTTGACTTTTTCATTTCCTCTTAGCATTCTCAAGATATTGCTCCACATTTTCCTTGCTGATATGTGGCTATTAATACGTTGATTGTTCATATAATTTTTCATTCTTTTATAGACAGTTTATCTTTTCTGACTAGCTGGTTTGAAAACATTCAGTGGTGTGCTGGTAAATGTTCAGCAGTAGCTGTCTAGGAAAACAGAAGTATGCATATATGTACATATATAAGTTTATTATAAGTGTTTCTGATATATAGTATGTATAGAACACAATTTACATATAATAATAAAGAACATAATATACTTTATTTTAAATTCCAAAATGCTGATTTATTTTTACAAAATGACTTCATTGCTTTTTGCTAAATTCTTGTATCCTTAGCCAACCTGTGGTTACAGTTGACAAAAAAGTGTCATTCCAATATTAATGTTGATTGCTATTTTCATTTATGTTAACAAGACCAAAATGAAACAATGAAAGGGTATGTCTCACTCCCTTGTCAACGACATGAGCAACTTCTTTGCTGAATCACAAATAGTTTTGAATACTGGAAGAATAGTTCCTTAGTTCCTTAATTTTTTGTGTCAGTTATTACACAATGTAACATCTATAAGTGTATTTTATTTTTAATTTTTTTTAGAGACAGGGTCTCACTCTGTCACCCAGGTTGGAATGCTGGAGTGCAGTGGTGCAGTCATAGCTCACTATAACCTCGAAAGCCAGAGCTTAAGGGATCCTCCTGCCTCAGCCTCCCAAGTAGCTGGGACTACAGGTGCACACCCACCATGCTGGCCACATTTAAGTTTAATCAGCATTAACATTCTCTCCATCACTTTCTTAAGTCTACATAATAACTATCAATCAATCCTGATTTGTAGCGTTCCCTGATATCTGTAGTGTAAATATTCCCGCAATGGCTGATTTCAGGGTACCAGAGTAACATCACTGAATGCCAAGTTGGAAGCAATATGCAGCAGCTGTAGTGTTTTCACTATGCAGACATAACTGATATAAATAACCTCAAGAGCATGATAGTGAGATGTAACAATATAATTGCAATAAGCTTTGAGTCTTTATTGTCTTTGTTTTAATATTGTGTTTAATTGTGAATTTATATAATTTATTTTTTGATGATGGCTCTGGTTAACAACGGGCTCACAAAATTCTAAAACATTTAACAATAAACTCTTGTAGGCCAACATGAGCCAGGTCCAACACTTCCATTTTTGATTTATTGACCTTCCTGAATGTTAGGATTAATGTTTTTTGCCATCTCTGGAAATGCCTCAGTCATTATATGTTCAAATACTGCCTTTTGAAAAGTTCTATTCCAGTTTCAAGAGGTCTTTCAAACTCACCTTGCCATTTTTTATGCTCTCTTCTTTCTTATTTGCACTTTTTATACTTCCTTTTATTTATTTAAGCATATTAAAAAACTTTTTGTATTTTCCATTTGGTAATTATAATATCTGTAGCCTTTACAGATATAATTTCACAGTTTTTTTCTTTGGGTTCTTGCTCAAAGTGGCTTATCTTCTCATATTTTGTGATTTTCATTTGTGAGCTCGTATCAACTTATAACTTTTTTAAAACAAAAATTTAAGGCAAAGTGCATTTTAGACACAAATCTATGTGAAGACAGGCTTCCTAACTTGTGGTTAGGAGTGCTCAGAAGAGACCCACCATCACTTTATCCATTTTATCTATGATTTTTGAGATATTTTGTGCTAGGAATGTTTCTCTGAACATCTAGTCTACCACATTGCTGATAAACAATCTTAAGACCTAAATTAAGAATTGGATTCATGTTGAGAAGGATAGGAGGCTGAGAGGCTACTGCAGTGATCCAGGCAAAGATAATAAAGACTTAAACTAACGAAATTGCAACAGAAGCTGTGAGAGAAGAAGCTGAAGTGAACAGAGTTCTCCGAGGAGAACTGACAGGATTCAGTAGACAGAAGTTGGGTGAGAGAAAGAGAGAATCAAGGATGACTTAGTTATTCTCCAAAATAAACCTGAATGGAACACATATTTGATTTGTTTCAAAATCCTGTTAAATTTTTTAAATGTATTTACAGGCATGGAAAGAAGAGCAAGATCAATTAGCAGAAGAAGAACGATTAAGGGAAGAAAAGAAGGCAGAAAAGAAGA